GGAAGAAGAAATGAGCTGACAGGAGATCGCCACCGCTGGGCCAACAACTCTGGCTGCACCTGGCTATCTCTCTAGAACAGCTAATCTTTTCTTCCCTCTCTCCCTCTCGGACAGTCACTGGCTGTGCAGACATTTTCCTAAGAAAAACCTGGAGACCAAAAAATTGCAGGTGGGAAATCTGTCTATCAGTTCAGAGGATTCCAGTCTTGTAGCTGCCCAAATCTCGCAGAGAGACGGAGGCCGCCCTAAGCCCCGAGTTTATGGGAAGCTCCTTGGTGCTCCATGGTGCTTTGCTCAGCTCTTCGTGGAGCTAAGGCTGGAAGGGAAATCATTTCTTTTCCTATAACTCAGAGCAATTATATTCTCTTAACGCCGACATCTGGCTCGCTGCTACTCTCCTTGCTTACAATTTCCAAACGTTATCAGTTCTGGGAAGATCAATTATCACTGAAAAGTTGAGAAACGCTCACCGGTTATTTGCATTGATTTGGTTGACAAGGCACAGGCTCCTTTTGAACTACAGATGTCTACGGAGGGCCAGGGAGGAGAAAAACGCACAAATCTGGGGCAGCTAGGTTTGGAGCCTCCATTCCACTGCAGGGACCATGGAGGGTGGAAAGCTAGGCCCAGAATGGTGACACTTTGCCACCCTTCCCCAAACTCTGAACAAAGCCCTTTCTCTAAAGACAAATGGGAGGCCAGGGTCGGCCAGCGCCATAAGCAGCCGCCACGATATAATTGGCCTGTTACTGCATCATCTTTAATCAATAGGATCCGGAGTTTCCACAGCTTGGACAGCCCAAATCTCCCTGACAGCCAAGAAACAGCGGGTTGTTAAAAGGCCCAATAGTTGTGCCTCGCTAATGGGTGGCTTGTTCCCTCAACCCTGCTGATTTTTTAAATAAACCTAAATTCCAATAATTGTTTAATGTTTATTTTTATTTAGTTCTGGTTCAGATGCTCTGCGTCTCTCTGACAGAAATTGATATCTGGTTCCTGGTGAGCTTTATTAAAATACACACACACACACACACACACACACACACACACACACAATCTGCTGCATACCCTGGGATGTGGTTATTTATCTGGCCTGGCTGAGGTATGGGCCCCACGTGTTTGGGGTGGGAGATAACACAGGGGTAGTCTTGCCAAGCTGTGCCTTCTCCTTGGCTCATTCCCAGGGCAGTGGTTAGGGGCCCTGAAAGTCTTTCACTGGAGCTTGTTCTTACCTCAGGCAGCAACAAAGGCAAGATTGGGCTTCTAATTACACCTGGCACCCTCAGCTCCTGTGGTGTCTCTGGTTGGCCACATGCTGGAAAAACTGCCCTTTCTGGCTCGAGCAATGACAGTTGGGAGGTTGGGTGTATCAAATGCATTTCTGATTTACAGTATTTTCAAAATATGATGGGTTCATTAGGATATGTCCCCATCATAGGTTAAAAGGCATATGTACTAGGAAGTTTACATGCTCACTTACAAAATCATGGCAAACTGATGATCTGAAGGTCAGGCTTGCCAAGGTCAAGGATATGTGAGACTTTTGCACACTGCGTCAGTCTCATTAAACTGGGGCTGCCTGAACTTCTCTATCTTCATCACCCTAAGAGGAATCAGCCAAAGACACGTAAGACAGATGCTGGTCTCTCCAGTGTCTGTCCTCTCCTGTTGATGCCAGTACTACCAGACTCCAATGGGCCTCACCAGGGTACTGGGAAGCCTCACCAGAGTACGAGAACACTGCACTGGACTCTGCCTGCTCTTCCCCACCCCATTCTAGTTCCCAATCACCTGGGCAAAGACACTGATCCCTACCACCAGCTGGCTCCAGTCACTGCTGATTTCTCTCGCTTCCTGACCTTACCCAGTCCTCCTTCTCCACCTCTGCCTTCCCAGTATATTTACTGGGCCTGAGGCCAAGGACCCAGCCACAAGAGACACAACTTCCACTTTCACCTCTCCAACAAAGCCAATGCAAGAGGAAATGAGTTAGAATTCCTTTTTCCATTGGAGAAAGGGAAGCCTGGAATCAGCGAGAAGTTTCTGCAGTAGGTAGAGTGCAATGCTGCAAAGAACCCACATCTTGTCATTGCAGAGACTGAGTCTGCACCCAGGTACTTACTATGTGTTCTGTCAGACCACTCACGCCTGTACCCCGGTGCTAGTATTCACTGGTAATTCATACTCTCATCCTGGAGGATTCAGGCCATGTTTGGGTACTGCTCCTTACTACTATTGGGGCTGTTGTTGGCACTCCATCCTTGGAGGTTACCTCAAATCCAACTCAACATTCCTTCCACTGGGGTATGTAAGAGGCTCTGTTTGCACCTGGAATTCACTTCTATTTGCAGCAAGCACCTGGACAATTTTTAGTTGGCCTCTGCGTTCTTTGTAGGGCTTCTAGGTCATCCTGCACCACCCTCATGCGCAATGGGCACCTGTCCTCCTGCCACCAGCCACACCACCAGCCATGTCTCTGTATGTAATTGACATTAATAACTGTCCCCATACATACAGCATGTACCCAGGGTCTATTATCAGCTAATGAGTAAATAATATTCTGTTCTAAATCCGAAAGCACTGTTAGATACCAGAGGGGGACTAATGGGTGTTTCAAGACCCCTTTAATCACATATTAACGTGACTCAAAGCAGGCTGCAGAGCCCATATGCCAGCTACCCTGCGACACAGTGGCTTTTAAATCTCAGCAAAAAACAAAGCGGGGCAGAGGACAAGCCCCCCATCCCACGTCTGGTTAAGCAGCTAAGCCAGCCCACCATAGCTGCAAGAGCTAAGTAAGTGCTACTGTTGCCACTCCTGAGTTTCCAGGATGTGATGGGAAAGGGAGTGTATTAATTTCCTGGGACTGTGAAATCAATTATCACAAACCAGGTAGCTTACAACAATGGGAAGTGACTCTCTTACAGCTTTGGAAGTCCAAAATCAAGGTGTGGGCCGGCAGGATTACACTTACTCTGGCCTCTGCGGAGGACCCTCCTGGGCTCCTCCAGTTCTGGCGGTCCTGGCAATTCTTGATTTGTGTGACTTGTAGCTGTATCACACCATTCTCTGCCTCTGTTGTCACATGGCTGCCTCCTCATGTGTCTATTTCTTCACATGGCTTTCTTTCAAGGATACCAGTCACTAGATTAAGGATTCTTTTTGCCCAGTGTGTTCTCAATTAATGACACCTACAAAGACCCTATTCCCAAACAAGCTCCTACCCTGAGGGTCTGAGAAGACTGGAATTTTGGAGAGGCAGGATTCAACCCAGCACATGGGTGATGGTCTGTGGCTGGTAGTGCCAGAGTGGAGAATGACAGTAACTTTAACTCTCTGAGTGACTACCATGGAGATCCTGTACCCCAACTCTGTTAAGCCTTTTGGAAAAGCTCAAGCACCAACCCCAACTCCTCCTGCCCACACATCATGTCACATTATCAGTGCAATTTCCTATTAGCCACTTCCATCGACTCACATTAATATTTGTTTCCCCTGATACAATGCAAGAGTCTCCTCAGATTAGTAACTTTCGTGTCACATTAGCAGGAGCAACTGTGAATATATAATACAGTCCCGATATGACACAGTCTGATGGAGAATTGCTAACATGACACAGCTCCTCTACAGGGGACTGCTGGTCTGTATTGAGTGAAGCCAGGGCATGCTGAACCTATCAGTCCCTGGTAAGCACAGCCACATGTGTCCCCTCAACTGACTGGGTAAGGTTCAGGGATGGAGCGAGGTCCTCCTTTGGAAGGCCCCTGCTTAGGACATCTCTCTTGTCCCCAAAGATCCTACCTCCCAGTTCTTACAGAATGGTCTGGTTCTTCTCTGAACTGTCCAAGCAGCCCTGGCATCTGCAGAGAAAAGGTGACAGGCAGAGAGAGGGACCCATTACACTTTCCACAACCCAGTCCTCTGCGTTCTGCCTTCACTGAGGTGACAAGCAGGGCTGAGGTTGCCAAAGCCGATTCGTCAAGCCTGTGTGGGCACAGCCGAGCTGGGATGAGTGAGGAGCCAGCAGCTGCATGGTTATGCTGACAAGGCCGTAGGAAAGTGGCAAGGGACAACACTGAGCTGGTATGAGCTGTCACAAAGTGGTTGAAGGAAATATCTCTCAAGCCAGCCCAATCTCTGGACTGGCTGGAGTTCAAGTTTTGCCACTGCTATGTACTAGCTGGATGATCATGTCCTAGCTGGATGATCACGGGCAAGTAATTTCATCTCCCAGTGCCTCAGTTTCCTCCTCTGTTAAATGAGGATACAACAGAGCCTAACTATTAGAGTTGTTATGAGAACAAAAAGCACTTAGACCAGTGATGGCAAACCTTTTAGAGACTGAGTGTCCAAATACAACCCCAAACCCACTTATACACCACAAACTGCCAACAGTGCAATTAAACCTGAATACTGAGGTTTAAATTTAGAAAAAAAAAAAAAACTCATACAACTTGTGACAGAATCAAAAAGAGGATCAACGTGCACTCACTATAGCTTGTATGCCACAGGTTTCCACCCCTGACGTAAGAGCCTTGCACAGCGCTTTGCATGTAACAATCAGGCCTCCCCATTGTAGAGATGGATGCCCCTCTTGGCCTTTCCAGGTCATCAGTGTGCTCTGGCAAGCACCAGGTTAGGCACTACGGGACAGAGAGCTGAGTTTCCACTCAAGAAGTTCAATTCTATCTAAGGAGACAAAATCCAGAAGAAGGAGGCAGAAGTCATATCACAGGGTTTTCAAATCACCCCCAAAAGCCTGAACTTTATCTGAACAGTGGAAGGAGAAGGCCCTGAGATGCTGTGGCCCTCACTGCTAAACCACCTGTCATCTGACTGGCTCTGGAAGTCCTGGAAGAGAGGCTGAGGGGTGGTAAGAGCAGAGACAGAAAGAGGCAGGGAGAAGAGTGAAGGAGCTAAGTATGGCTTCTCATCAACCGTGCTTGACCTCTCGTCCTCTGCCATCCCGTCTGGGGCACGGGTTCAGGCACAGCCCCTACCTGCTGCACCATGCTCCACTCCAAGCTCTCCTTGCAAGGCTGCCGGATAATTCCTACTGCCTCCAAACAGCGCTCCACGTGGCAGCCAAGAGCCGGCTGCCAACAGGCAAGGGGCCAAGATTCCCTTCCAACAGAGACATCCATTTGCCCGTCAGAATGCGGCTACACAAGTGCCAGAAAACTGGACCGATGTCTTCCACCAGGCAGATACCGCTGCCAGGCTTCTTAGCCCTGCCCATTGTCCCTCAGGCCTGCTGGTAAGGAGGAGGTCCACACCCTAAGGACCCTGCTCCCTCCACTTTTGACCTCATCAGGTGCTGGGGTCAAAGTGCAAGGGCTCAAAGCCTGGCCAACCCAACAAGCAGCTGTGACCTGGGCCAAGTCATTAACTTCTCTGGGCTCCAGTCACCTCCACACAAGGAGATTCAGGTAACCACTTCTAGCTCACAGAGTACTGGGAAATCAAATAAGAATATGTACAAAAAGTGCTTTTCAGTACCTGGCATTTAGTTCATGTTCAATAAATGTTAACTTCAGATATTACCATCTATAATACTTTCTCAGTGCAGATCTCAGGGAACAGTCATCTCAGGTATCCAAGAATGGGCTAGGAACCACAGGGGCAATAGAAAAGGCATCTGAATAGCTAAAGTAGCTGTCACAAAATGAGCACATGTAGAGCCTGACCATGAAAAACATTTTCTATCATGTTACAGCAATGTACCTAACATAATAGTAATTGGGAACCACCCCAGGTCCCAGCACTGGGCACAGCTATTTATTTATTTTGGGGTACCAGAAATTGAACTCAGGCTCTTGTGCTTGCCATGCAGGCATTGTGCTGATGAGCTGTGTCCCCAGCCCCTGGGCATGACAATTTAAATACACTTTGTTTAACCAGTAACACGCTGGTAAATGTTTAACAACCAGTTTTTGACAGGGAGTGGACAGGATAGTTCCGATGTGTATCACTTCCATGGTACCGTTTTGGTCAGACTTTAAGTCCACATTGTGATGTCACCACACATGGAGCCTGCACACTGGTGTATTCCCGGCCCTCCCCTTGTCCCAATGAAGCCAGTGCTGCTTTAATGCCCATTTTATAGATAAGAACTATGAGGCTCAGAGACATCTGTTCCCTTGGCCAGGGTCATACAACAAGCAAGTGGCAGTGAGTGGCATCAGGATCAAGTGACCAGTGTTGACTTCAATGTTCATGTCTTTGCACTGGGCCCCAACACACCCATTAGCCTGGCTGCCTTAACCCTTGCATCTCCCATACTCACTGTTCTTTACTACTATGTAGAGACCACTGTCCCATCAAGGTCACTCTGGTCTGGCTCTGCAGACCTTCCTGATGTCCAGCTTGTGTGGGTCCCATGACCTTCCTGCTGTTCCTTTCCCAAGTGGCAGAAGAGTGCATCTCGTCCCATCTATCCATCCAGTCACCAAATATTTTCTTAGTGAAACAGCTGATGGTCCCACATCACCCCTACCAAGAGCTCCTATGACACACAGGTCCTGTTGGCAGCATCTACAAAGTAGTTAATCAGAACAAGGCAACTTTTGCTTATATAACCACAATGCAAGGGTAGCTTCAGGCATGGATGGATCCAATGCTACAAAAATATTAGCAAGGTTTGATTCTCCCTCTCAGGTGTTACTTCCCTGAGCTGTCCTCTCTCATTACAAATGGCTCAGACGTTAGTGTCAATTACCTGTGGATCTTGTTGAAGTGCAGATCCTGTTCTAGGAGGCCAGGTGCGACCTGCACAGCTAATGACTATTTAGGTGACATCCCTGCTATGGGTCTACAGTGAGCCAAATTAAGTAGTGAGAGCCTAAATTCCCAAACTGCTCATAGGATCCCTAACATGCTCACAATGTTAGCGTGTCTCAGAACCACAGCACCTTGGAGGCTGCTCCGATCTCCATGCCTTCCTCACGTTCACTTTCTGTTACTGCCTTTTGCTTCTCTGAACTTTAACTAAGCAATCACTAAGTACCCAGCCAATACCAGTCCTGGATTGATAGTGGGGATGTGGAGAGACCCAGCCCCAGCCAGCTACAGGGAGCTGGTGTTCCTGAGTTTAGCAGGAAAACTTGAGAGAACCTGTGAGCTCAGTCTCCGGGTAACAATAACAATAGCATACATCTATAGTGCTGCTTACACACCAGGGACCATTCCAAGCCCTTTATAAATATTAACCCACTTAGTCCTTTTAACTGACCGGATGCAGTAAGTCTAATGATTAACCCATTTACAGATAAGATGAATAAGGTTCACAGAATTAAGCCAAGAATACCTGGCTCAAGGGTATAAAACCTGGAAAGAGAAAGAGAAATGTCTATAGGAAAACAAAGTGTAGCATGTGGTTCTCTGTTGGGACTAAAAGAGATGATCCTGGGTAGAGTACATGACCTCAACCCCTGGCTGGCAGAGGAGGGAGTCAGTTAGATACACGTGGGCAAGTGACAGCTTCCATCTGAACTATCTTTCTGTCCCATCATGTCTGACTTCACCCCCTAACTTAGGACAAATGACATCTGGCAGTCTTAGGGTCACACGCTTGCTGAGCTAAGGGGATTTTTCTCTGTTGTGTTCAGATACAACTAAGAGGGAAGTCTGACTGGAACAAAATCATGCGCATTCACTGACATACTATCCTATCCATGGTTGCTCCCTGTCACAATGGAAGAGAATAGACATGACAGAGACCACAGGACTCATAAAGCAGAAAATATTTACTATCTGGTCATTTCCAGAAAGATCTGTTTAGACAGAAATAACACCGATAACAATTAACAGCATACAGTAAGCATGTACTATCTGCCAGATTTGTACTTCTTATAGCAACCCTGTAAGATCGGGAAACGAAATGCATGAAGTTAACAGCAGGCAAGCTCAAGGTCACACAGCCAGTAAGCAGAAGAGCTGGGATTTGATTTCCACAGTGTGACCTCAAATCCCATGCTCTGAGTAGCTCTGCTAATCAAGCACAGGTCATCTGGAAGCTTCAGAGGTAGGGGTCTAAATCAGGGTATCATTTTTCAGTATGGTCCAAGATAGACAGACAGACAGACAGACACACACACACACACACACACACACACACACACGAGTTTTGTTGAAGCCAGCAGGAAATCCCACAGCATTCTCTCTGTAGCGAGCTGCTCAGTGCTGTCCCGCTGAAGAGTCTCAGTGAGCAGCAAGACACTGTGCAAGTGCACAGGGCACAGTGCACAGTGTGGTGGGGCCCGGCCACCAACGTGAGCGCCATCCCTCACATGCCTGCAGCTGCACACACAGGCTCTAGGGATGACACCTCCCAACACGGGGTCTTGACAGGCCCGGCCACAGTTCCAAGGAGCCCATCAGCCTCTGCTGTTTCCTGTCTCTTAGTGTAGCCTTCTGTGGTAGTTGTTTGTGCAGCCTTAAGGATCAAGCCCACCACCTGCCCTGACAGTCACTGAAATGCTTGGGGCTGGGCTGGGGGATGGAGACTTGTACTGCCAGGAAGAGAGGCAGGGGCAGGTCACATGTCTGGGAGACAATGTAGAATTTCCCCCAGGCCCAGGTTTGAGTACTAAATGGTGCTATTTACCAGCTTTGAATGATTTAAAGCAAAGCATTTCTTCTCTTTGGCCTCAGTTTCCCTTTCTGTATAATGGGTGTGATGGCAGCCCCCCCCCCCCAGAGGTGTTTTGACTTTTAAGAAAGGACATTTGGCCACTGCTTGGCATTCTGTATGCAGTTCAACTGGCTTGGTTTTAAACCCTGTCTATACCACATGGCTGTGTAGCTACTACTTTGCTGCGCCTCAGTTTCCTCATCTATACAATGAAAATGATTATAGCCTCCGTTCTGGGGTTTGTTGTGAGGGTGAACTGAGCAGTATTCATTAAGGTATGGGGGACATTACTCAGTGACAAAATGTATCCTTATTTTCTGGCATAAGGGTAACAGGAACCAGCTTGGGAACTCAGTCCTACCTCTCACCTGGTAAGGTGACCCAGTGTTCTGGACCCCGGTGCTCGCAAATGTCCCAGTGCCACATGGTTCTCTGCTGTGGCGTGAGCTCATTTTGAATGGGCTGGATTCCCAGAGAGGGTTCCTTTTAGTGGGGTATGCCCATGAGTTCGTGATGAGATAGCTGCAGGGAGACAGATGAAGTGGCTGTGCTTAAGTACCCTTCCAAGGACTGTGCTCTGGCCTGGGGCTCTGAGCAAGGGACAAGCTGCTTGTTCCATTTGTGGCGGAGCTTGGGTCTCACATCCAGCCCACAGCACTTAGCGCCACATGCATCTCAGATTTCCCAGGGCCAAGCGGCAACTGTGAACTGCCATGCTCCGGCTCCCGCCATTTCTCCCAGCATCTTCCCCCATCTCAGGGTGGGGGCACTGCAACCACCAGCTGCTCAGCCCCGGGGCCAAGCCCCCGGGCCCATTTTCATTCACTCTGTCCCACCACATTACATCACCCACCCGTGAGCCCATCAGCTCCACTTCCAAGGCCAAGGCCAAGCCCCACTCTGCCAACCTCCTCCAGGCCACTGGCCTGCCCTCCATGATGCTGTTCCAGGGAGATCTCTGAAAATGCCACTGCATCTTGTCACTCTGTGCACATCTCCATCTGTGCCTGGCCACTGGAACAACAGCCTGGGCCCCCTTGTGGCCAAGGGAGCCTGAGAGCTGCGTGCCATCCTGGCTCTGCCCACATCTCCCAACCCCTCTGAGGTCCAGTAACACTGGGTGAGGCCCAGATGAAACTTGTGACACACACCATGCACATGTGCACACACACACACACCCTACACTACCCAACACACCCACCTACCTACACACACCCACACCTACATAAGCAGACACCAGCACATCCTTACACACCCAAGACACTCCTACCACTATCCCAACTCCTCCCCCTTTGGGGTCTATTCAGTAGCCCCTCCCTGCTGGTGGACCCCAGCACGATGCTTATTTCCACTGTAAACTCGCATTTCTCCTATCCTACTTTGCTTACATGCTTAGCATCTGTTCTGCCTCCAGTGAGACTATCGATGCTGAGAGCATAGGTATTCTTCTCAATCAGTCCTAAAGGTAAGGAGGAATCATCCTTAGTCCCTTTTCTGTTTAAAAAGGAGTTGCAGCTAAGCACTGTAGTGCATGCCTGTGATCCTAGTACTCTGGGAGGCTGAAGCAGGAGGATCACAAGTTTGACTCCAGCCAGGGCAACTCAGTGACCCAGTGAGATCCTTCCTTGAAATAAAAAAAAAAAAAAAAAGGCCTGGGAATGAATGGTTATAAAAAAATATGATGAGGGGCTAGGGATTTAGCTCAGCGGCATAAGCGCCTGCCTTGCAAGTAGGCAGTCCTGAGTTCGATCCCTGGTACCAATAAAAAGGAAAAAGACAAAAAAAAAATATGATGGATGTTTAATTAAAAAAATACTACAGTGAAAGGCAGACTGCATGCTTTCACTTCAAACACACTTGTCCCATCATTCTGGCCAGGTTCTGAAGCAGTTCTGGAAGTCTCTTTTGTGTGTCGTTAGTTGTGCTATCCTGGCTGCTTCATGTCTTGAGTCAACTCAAAACAGTTATCTTTCACTGTCATTTTAATTTTGGGGTAGAGCCAAAAGTCACATAGTGCCAGATCTAGTGGGTAAGATGGATGACGTTGTACTGTCACATTTTTATTTGACAGAAATTGCCATAAACATTAATGACATATGATAAAAATATGGTGACTTTAAATTTTAAAATGTATTACACTAAAAGACGCATCACCATTAATCCCCCTCAAAGTATTTTCCCTCACTTTGAACATGCTTATTCCATTGTTCTTGGTGATGTGGGTTTTTTTTGCCTTTTTCGTTTTTATCGGTACCAGGGATCGAACTCATGACTGCCTGCTTGCAAGGCAGGTGCTTATGCCGCTGAGCTAAATCCCCAGCCCTGGTGATGTGTTTTTACGTGTTTTTTTTTTTTTTTTTTAACATTTTGAGTGGATGTAAAGATTCACTCAGTATTGTAATGGGGGTGGGAGTAGTGGCTCTGCACATTTATACTTCTCTGTGGGTCAAAATGCTCTGCAAAAAAACAGGTTAAGAAACACAGCTGCTCTTTGCCTTACAATGGGGACATGTCCTGACAAGCCCGACGTAAGCTGAAAATATCAGATATGGAAAATGCATTTAATACACCTGACCCTCTGAACATCCTGGCTTAACAACCTAGCACCCTAGAAATGCTGGCTGCTTCCCTCAAGTTAGTGGGATTGCCAGAGAGCTGTGTTCTCTGCCACTGCCAGAGTTGTGAGAGAGGATTGGACCTCGTTATCTAGTCAGCCTGGGAAAAGGTTCAAATTCAAGCTCTGAAGTATTGAATGTGTATCATTTTCATACCACTGCTAGCATAAAGTCAAAGATCCACAAGTTAAACAATAGTAAGTCAAGGACATCTACAAGTTCACAGCCAGGAGGTGGCTAGAAGTTCATCTGAATTAATCTTCAATCACAATTTGTAAAATCACATGTTTCCTGCTCATAGAAGAATATATCTTAGAGAAATGCACATTAAATGGCCTACCCCAGATGTTCTCCAATCTGCCCTAGCATCAGAACCCTTGGGAAGTGTTTCTACAATCCTGGTAGGAGCTGCTGGCTTGGGTTCCCAGTAGGGTCTGTCAACACCTTCCTGGGCATGGTTAGGGCATCCCACAGCTGCCCAGGCTTGAGTGTGGGGGTGCCCACACTGGAGGTTTGAGCTGGCCAAGCTTGAGGTCTTTCCCAAGGCCCTGAACTCCTCTGTATCCATGGCCAGCCTGTGTGTCAATGGAGGAATATTGTTGTCCAGGGCTAAATGTCACACCCTAAGGCAGGATGCTGGCTATGATGGCCGAGAGTGCAAGGGTAGAGACTGGTTTGCAGTTTGACAGTTTTTTTAGATGGCCTCCTTCCCCCAGGATTGGAAGCTGAGTTAACTGGGCCAAAATCACAAAAACTGTCCTCAGTCTATTTTAATAGAAAGAGATTACATGTATGGCCTTATTCAGTACCACAATCTTATGAAGTTTCCCCTATCCTAAAGTATTTCTTTAAAAATGGTGTGCTACGACTCCTGGCTCTTTAGATTTCTCACATCCTCAGTTTTTTTCCTTTTTTTCTGTGACAGAGTCTTGCTATGCAGTTCGAGCTGGCCTTCGGCTTACTCTGTAGCCCAGGTTGGTCTTGAACTTGCATCAATCCCCCTGCCTCAGCCTCCCGAGAAATGCCAGTTTTCAAAGCCAGGCTTCTCCTCCAGCCCCCCACTGACTTTCCACTGCCCTCCCTGTCTCCAAGTGTCTGACTATGGCTGGTCTTCACAGAGAAGACAGGAGCTCACAGAAAACAATAGCAACACAAACCAAATCCACTTCTGACGGGTCATTTACCACTGGCTGGGTCCTGTGGTTTGCAAGGTGGGGAGAAGTAGGGGATGAGATTGTCCCAGACCCTTTGTTTCCAATGATACAATTGAAAACTTTTTTCACGCGTACTGACAGTTGTCTTCCTTGCCTCTTTTCCTTGAGCCTTCCTGCTTGTGTCTTTATGAAGTATGCTGGGACTCTCTAGGGATTTGGTCAACTTTCTCCATCTTCTGAGGGTCCTACGTGTCTGTCTGATTCCATCAATCTCAACTTGACACAGTGTAGCATCTCATCCCCGTGTGCTGGCCTGTCTCTCTGCTTAATGCCCCCATCAAAAGCTGGGAAATACCCCCTTTCAAATGCACCTCTCAGAATATCCTGTTGCTGTTGCTAAAGCCACAAATTACTATCCATGAATGACTCTTCATCTTCCTCAGCTCCCTCCATCAACTATGAAATGACTTTTAAGGCAGAGATAGAAAATACATAAGCATGCAGTTGGCAGACATAGCTACACCTGTGGTAGACATTAATAATGGATTTCCCACACCATCTAGACCTTTTGATGAGTCAGTTTGTATCTACCCCTCATCCTCCATCAATGTTTGCACAGACACCTTCAACCTGATCTTTTTTTTTTTTTTTTTTTTTTTTTTGCTGCTTGTAGGAGCCCATCCTGGTGCACTTTTTTTTTTGTCTTTTTCTTTTTTATTGGTACCGGGGATTGAACTCACGACCACACATTTGCAAAGCAGGTGCTTATGCCACTAAGCTAAATCCCCAACCTGACCTTCTAATTTGGCCTCTTTCCCATCAACTTTCCATATACAACCCAGAGTGTTTGTCTGTTGACTTGACAGAAGCCTTTAATCCTCTAAACATAAGACTGGCTTCCCATTGTATTTAGCACATTTAGAGATGCCAGCTCTATCTTGTGCTTCAGTCTCATGAGACCCGGTCCACGGGAGTTGGAATTTCTATACAGGAGGATCCTAGGCCCTGGTTAAAAGCTGTGTCCCTGGTGCTGACAGCAGAATTTGATGTACAGCAGGTGCTCAAGCATGTTTGAAGATTGTTTGAGACACTCTTTTGTAGATCCAGAAACTTTCAAGAATCTTCTCCATGCAGAAAGCTAATTCTAAATTCTCAGAGTTGGCATGTAAAAAGCAGTCTGCTATCAAGGCCTGCCCTAACCTTAGGAGGTTCTGCCTAGCTCTGATGGTTTGGCAATGAGGAGACGTACAAATACATCATCGTAGCTCCTTTCCCAGGCTTACTTTTTCATTATATGTGGACCACATTGTAGTCCAGTACTCTTTGTAGTGGGGAACAGTTTGTGGAGGTTGAACTCTGATCTCTACATAGCTACAGATAGGTCCTCAGCTTTGGGTGTCTGCGGGGGAGGGGGGTGTTGGAGCTTCTTTCTGAGGAGCTCTTCCTGTCTTTGGACCAGTGCCTCAGTGAGGGTGACCTGGCAGGGAAGGATGCTTGGGAAAGCCAGGTTCTAGGCCTCTGCTACTGGAATGTCATCCCCTTCACAATGGTCGAGTCACCTAGTCAGCTAGGAACAGGTTCTAGAAAATCTAACCTGGAAAGCCCAGAAATCCCAAACCAGAAGAATAATTGAGAAGTAGAGAAACATGTTTTGGAACAGGAATTCTAGGATAGGGTGGGCTAGGAGCTCGCTGATTTCCTTGGCCAGGGGCACCTGAAAGCCAAAGATGAACATTCCCGGGGTTCCTGCTAGGTGTCTTGGGGTAAAGGGGTGAGGGCAGAAGAAGGAGAGGGAACAAGAGAAGAATAATTAGTGCTATTAATTACATCTCAAGCACAGCCTACGTTTCTGCCCCGGGATTAAAGAAACATTCATTTGGAACGACTATTAAGGTCTTAAATTCACTGCTTCACAAATCAGGGCAGTGGAATGAAAATTCTTTCTCTGTGGGGACTAGGAGGCAAGGAGAGCATTTTCTATCCAGGTTGCTGCAGCCCAGATGAAAAGCTAGGACTTGTGAGCTGGGATGGAGAATGGTTCGCTTGTTATTGTTGTTGGCTGTTCTTTTTTTTAAAGCTGTTTCAGGCGGGGACGTGTTCCAAATGTATAATCTAATGTGCTATAAAAGTCACTAATGTGATTATACTTTTATATCATATTAGAGAAAATGAATACTAATTCAATACCAAACACTAATTTGGTAGAACTGCAAAGTGCTGAGAGGCTGCAAAACATTTGCTGGGCTGAACTTTCTGGCTGGGGCCTGAGAATGGGTGGTGGTATTTCAGGTTCAGCCCCCGGATGTTCAAATGTGTCAGAGTCCACCCCTCTCTCTGCAGCAGACAGACTGGGGGGCAGCTCCCCTGAGGACACATATCCTTGTCACCTCAGGAGGAACTTATGAATCCTCAGAAGAATGTTTCAAATCATGAGGAATGCAAAGCCATTTGGATTTTTAAACTAAGCATGTCGTTAACATCGTCAGCAGATGGGAGACAGGCTGCTTCTAAATCAGAGTCAAAGTTAGGAACAGCTTCTCAGAAGCAAGACTCATAAGGATTGTAACCTAGGAAGTAATGTAAGCAGTAACACTTACTGACCCCGGGGCAGTCACTGTTCTAATTCCTGCCAGTCATTCATTCCACCTGCAACCCCACTCTAGGAAATGGAAATCATTTCTGAACCCACTTGACAGATCAGGAAAACGGAGGGGTTCACAGAGATGAGATGCCTCATCCAAGTTCACACAGCCAGTGAGAACAGGGATGCAAAGCCAGGTTGTGTGGCTCCAGAGTTGCCTTGTCATTTAATTGCTACCAAATAGGAAGTAGTGTCCACTGGTCAGACAATTTCGTTATATTTGCACTACTTCACATTAACCTTAAGATAACCCTTGGGGTAGGTGTGTTCTTATTTTTACTGTACAGATGAACAAGCTGAGGTTTACAAATCTGACTTGCTAAATGCCACAAAGCAAGTGACAGAACTGGGGCCCAAACCCAAAGCCAGCTGACTACAAAGCCAGAGCTCATCACCACCATGCTACAGGTTCTTCCAAGCTCCCAGAACCAAGGCCACGGCCTCAAAGGTGGGGCTATACATCTTTTCCCATCCTGAATTCATGTTCAAAATCCCCCTCACATCAGCTTCCCTGAATTTTCATGGAGACTTTTATCCTCTTACTTCTGACCTGGGAGTCCATGGAAGAACAGTTAGGTCAACTTCCAGAATGATACATTCTCTAGGATCTCTCCTGAGGGACCCAACTTCCTGCTTCCCCCACACCTTCATCTCTGGGTATGATGTCCCGTTTTATTATCAAACATCACCCACACCTCCACATCTTGGCAAGCTGTATTCAGCAACACAGAAACAGAATTATGATGTGGTGGCTTGGCTTCATAAATAAAATTTTGCAATTTCCTCATCTGGGGGCATGGATAAATTATTCTTCTGCGTCAAGGTTACGATGATCAAAAAGGTGGCCTGGCTGGCCTTTCTCAAGAGTGGGGATAAAAAGAAGGCTCTGATTACATCTCGGCGCCAGGCTGAGGGCGGAGCCCCAGGGCCCAGGCTGCTGCTTTGTGGCTACACAGGATCAGATGGCTGAAAATGCATAAGCTCTGCTTCGAAGGTCTCACTCCAGAGGGATGGACGTGACCAGCATCACTCATGGGGGCTGGCGGAGACGGTCCTCCAAGCAGAGTGCACGTGGCACTGTTCTCCTGTTCCCTTCGTTGAAAGTCCCCTCTAACCCTGCTGCAGTCACACCCATACTGTGCTGCACGTGCAGTTTCATAAGGTGAACCGTGACATTCTCCCCAAAACCTACATGCAAGTTCCTCAAAATGTGGCCTGATTCGGAGACAGGGTCTGTACAGAGGAAATAAAGTTCACATGAGGTCACTGAGCTGGGTCTAATTGAACACGGCTGGTGTCTTTATGAAAAGGAGACATTTTGGACACAGAGGCACAGAAGGTGGATGTCTTCAGGTCATGAAGGTTGTTCACAAACCAAAGAAAGGCCTGAGAAGGAACCACCTCAAGTTTGAACTTCTCATCTCCAGAATCACGAGAAGACAAATTTCTGTTTAAGTCGGCCCGACAGCAGCATTTTGTCATTGCAGCTCTGACCAACAAATATACTGAGACACACTTTTTATAAAGCTGAAGCCAACCTATGGCCAAGTAGATGCTGCTGGGCTAAGGTCAGTCATATCTAAGGTGATTTGTGTTTTTCATTATACATTTGCATGGGGTCTGTCTATCTGTGCTCTGGAGGGCAGGCCTATCTGTCCTGGTCACCACAGTCTCCTCCATAACATGCCTGGTTCCTCAGTATTTCTAAATAAACAGAGACATGAGTGTGAGTGAAAGCTAGCCAGCATGAGTCTTGCTTTCCCTGCATTTCAGAAGGCTACATTCTTCTCCCTGAGAGGAGGGAAGCCAGAGGCTTTGCCTACAGGACTTCTCTGGGCCTTGGGCTGCCTGCTGAGATTCAGAGAAGAAAAAGCATAAAGGGAAAGTCTGCTCCAGCTCTATCCATCCTGCCCCTCCCTACCATCTTCAGGTCACCCTGCCTTGAATTCCATGTTGGAAGCTGCAGGCTACAATGTCCTTCTTCTCATTAGTTCTGTTCTGAGAAGATGCCTCCTTTACATTTCTAGGATGCAGTAACTAGGCACGTCTGCCCCATCCAGGGCGACTTGTTCCCAAATCCATGACCACCAGATGGAAAGAAGCTGCCTCCTTCGCCCGGCAATCCCCCACCACTGCGTCGGACATCCGCAGAATGCCGTCCCCGCCTGTCAAGAGTTCCACTGCCTCTAATGGTATACATTTTGTCGGTGGAAAGCAAATGTTTTTTACTTGAACAGCAGAGTCATGCCCATGAACAGACACTGTAAACAGGTGGCCCCTGGGTACGCTGTGCCCACAGACATACTGTATTTAGTTTGGCCTGTATGGTGTATATACTTTCATTTTCCTTTAAAATGGGTGATTTTTGCATACAAATCCGGATGCCTAGCTTCTCATGAGAAACTGACAATTCCGACAACTCCAAGCCTATGGAGACACAGATAGAGTTGTGAGGCAGCTGTGCCCTTCTGGGGACATGCCCTGCTGTCTGCCCAAGGAGTCAAGGTCTCCGTGTCTGGTCACTGCCCATGGTACTGCAGAGGCAAGGGGTTTGAGTTCCTTTTGTAGATCTTTGCTACAGAGCCCTTGAGACCTCCACCAAAACCGAGCTCACATATGATTGAAGCCAATCTCCCGCAAAGGCATTCCTGGCCATCACTTGCCTTAGAACATAGTAGGTGCTCAAGGAATACTCACTGGATGATTAAACAAATGGCAACAGAAGCCCAGTCTTCAGTCATCACTTAGAAACAGCCAGTGAGATTCTGGAAGCCAATCCCATCAGCGTGCAATGGGCCTGGCCAGCCTTGTGAAGCCTTGCACCAGCTGAGGGATCTCCCTGTCTCCTACAGGAGGCCAATACACCAGACCCCTCTTCTCGCTGGCCAGCAGCATTGGGAGCAGTGACAGACACTGCCCACTGCTCCCCACACATGCCTGTGACATTCCCCTCGTCTCAGTAAGATGGAGCCTGGCTGCAGCCCTCCTCTGGGGCGTCTGCCCTCCATGCATCCAGTAGGCCCCCAATTGTCGCTGCCCTCCCAAATCCAGACGGAACTGTGAATTCTTCCTGTCAGTGCCGTATATCACTTTGAGATATATACCATATTAGCAGAAAGAACTGAATTATATTGCATTCATGATGCAATTAAACACTTCACTAGGAATCAATGTAAAACTGATGAGGCCTGAAAGTAGTGCATATGGCTTAGAACATTATAAAACATTACCTTCACTCAAATCCTTTTCAGTAGCAATTTAAATCTTCTTACAGTTACTGCTGCCAATGGTAAACCATCTACTGATTCATAACAGCGCATGGTAACGAATGAATTTTTTTAAAAATTTATTCAACTACTAAATTACCCATGAAACCGGAATAGCTGACAGGAATAATCTGAATTATTATTAGCTCTGCAAGTATTCTGCATTAGCCAATTTAAAACCACGGTTCTCAGGCAGGAACCAGTTAGTACAGCCGGAGTGTTAAATGACTGCAATAGTTCTTCATTTTACTGCTGCTTACATTTAAAGGTCAAGAGATAAAAATTACATATGACTCCAAACATGGGAAGGGTGTTTATCTTTTTCTATGAATCAGGTCAGTTATAAACTTTTAAAAACATTTGAGATGCAGTTGTACAAACTCAAAGGCCTTTGGAATATTTAGAAATCCTAAGACTGGGCAGGGGATTCTTCTCTTTCCTCACATTGCTACCAACAAAACAAAACAAAAACCCCAAACAAAACCAAAAAACTGTCCCCAGAAAGAACCCAAAACAGTCATCCTTGAGATCTAGAAATCTGCTTCCCAAAAGGTGCTAATTCCTTTTCTTCAGCCCTCACCTCCACTCATCTCCAAGCCTCCCTCAGCACTTGTGCAGCTTTGGAAACATCTCAAGGCCTCAGAAGGAGGAGGCCACAGAAGTCAACCTTCTGCCTGCCCCCCGGGGCAGACTACAGGACCCTGGCCGGTTCCCTTTCTGCCTTTCCTGTCCATGCCTCCTGTGTTGATTTTTGCTCCTCTGCAAAAGCCCAAGGGAAAACCACAGTGAGAGAAATGAAAAAAGCAGTAGCTTTCTTCAGGAGCCCAGTGTTAGCAATGCATGAGTGAACAAGGACCATAAAACACCAGCCTCATTTCTCTGCATGGCTTTGGCAAGACAGGCACGTGCCTGTCGAGCTCTGCAGAAGGAAGAGCCAGGCAAGTTCAAGGCGTGATTCTTCTTTTTTTTAATTTCCTTTTTTTGGAGGAAGGTTTTTTAAAGCCACAAAGTTAATATATGCTCGTTATAAAAAATTCAAATGATGGAAAATGCAAAGAAAAAAGCTGACAGCCCTGCCTTGCCACTTCACATTTGGTTATGAAGAGATAATAATTAAGCACCTACTGTGTGCCAGGGCCCTGAGGGTGCAGCAGTGAATGAAACCACCTTAACACCCTGGGGAACCCTTCTGGGCTTCTCTCTTTGTGTCTGCTACCATGTACACATATAGCAAGAATTCCTCATAAAAATGAGGTCATGTTCTACTACTTGCTTTATTCACCCAACAAAGCATCCTAGACTTCTTTTCTTGAAAGGTTACAATATCACTGCATGCAGGCCCCACATTTCCCCAGCCCTGTATGGGGCTGTTTCTTGCTAATATAAACCATCTTGCAAATGAGCACTGTTTAAGCTCTGGGGGTGGTATGCCCAGTCTTATGCCAAAAATGGATGTTCCACATGTCCTAATGTTTTAAGAGGAAGAGGGTGCAGGGAGTTGGAAAACATCCTTCCAAAAGACAAAAGAAAGCAATTGTGCCCCCCCCCCCACGTAATACCCAGCAGATCTCCATGGATTGATATGACTTTAAAAGTCACAATATCCATTATTGTTCAACGTCCTCCATGTTGCCAGTGGGCCCCTGGTAAACCACTGATTCTCAACCAAGCTGATTTTGCCCTCCAATGGACATCTGGCAAGGTTTGGACATTTTGTCTCCCAAAGGACATTTGGCAAGATCTAAAGATACTTTGGATCATTTCGCTTTGAGGTTGGGACATGGTACTGGCATCAGGCGGGGAAAGCCTAAGGATGTTGTTAAACACCCTACACGAGATATAACCCCCAACCACCAAGGACTATCCAGTGTCAAGGCTAAAAATCTTGCTTTAACTAAGGTCTGAACAGGTCTGGGACCCACGCATTCGTGTTTAAGGCCCAGATGAGCTGCAAGCTGAGTGGACACATGATTGGACAAATGATTTAACCTTTCTGAGCCCCAGTTAGTGCTAAGCACTGTAGGTATGTTTTTCCATACTTATTCATAGGATCTACTTCTTAGAATCAGCAGGAGGACTAGGTCAGACAATTTATGTCAAGAATACAATGTAGCTGTATATAGTAAAAACTCAGTAGCAGCAACAGCATTGTTACTAGAAGAACAGCAGCAACAGTAATAAAGGTAGCATTTTTTTTATTAGGGTAAAATGAACACAATGTAAAATTTACCATTTTAACCATTTTTAAATGTCAGAAACTGTGGCATTAAGTCACTAAGCTATCACCACCGTCTATCTTCAGAACACTTACATCTGCTCTGTCCTCATATGGCCCTCCCTCTGTGCATGTCTGTGTTCTGATCTCCTCAGATTACTAGGACACCAGTCATACTGGATAAGGCCCCACCCTACTGGCCTCATTTTAACTTTATTACTCCTTTAAAGACCCTACTCCCAATACAGGCCCACTCTGAGATGCCAAAGATTTCAATACATTTTAAGGTTTTCACATAGGACTTTGGGATTCAAACCAGAGCCTGATCTTTTTTTGTCGGTACCGGGGATCAAACTCATGACCGTGTGCTTGCAAGACAGGTGCTTATGCCGCTGAGCTAAAGCCCCAGCCCCAGAGAGCCGGATCTTCTAACAGCTGCATTGCAGCTATGAGTGGCTAGTTCTGGACAATGAAGTCATGTTCCCTAGGCAGCTTCCCTTCCTGAAGTGAGAGATAAAATCCTCATCCCAAGAAAGCCTTTCCCTTCTGCCCCTTTGGCTTTCCTGTCTCACTGCTTCCTGGCCTGCAGACACCATGAGCCCTGGAGAATGAACTGCTATTAGGAGCTACAAAGCTGAAAAAGCCAAGAGGGGAAATGGAAAGACAGAGGTAGTCTCCCTCTTACTCTGCCACATTAGAAAAACACTGACAACCACAGTGTTCTTCAGGAGCTCAGAGGATAAATACATGGTGATACATTAGAGCCATAGAATACTATTCCACACTAGAAGAAATGAGTTAGTAAGCCATCACTAGCCACTGAGGAGGAAACTCTTTGCCCACTGATACATTTTAAAAGGGAGACCAAGAAGGCTAAACACTATGATTCCAACTACATGGCCTAAACGTACTACTCCAAAGTTCAGGTGTTGGAAACTTGACCCTGAATTCATATGGCAATGGTATTTGGAGATGAGTTCTTTGGGAAGTAAATAAGAGTTAGATGAGGTGGGGCCCCCATGATAGCATTAGTGGCTTCATAAGAAGAGAGACCCAAGAGCAAACACCTGCTCTGTCTTGCCTGATAATACCTTCTGCTGTGCTCTGATGCAGCAAGAAGGCCTTCATAGGCATCAGCACCATGCTCTTGGTCTCCCCTACCTCCAATTCCTTATAAACTGCCTGGTCTCATATTTTGTTCTGGCAACAAAAACAGACTAAGACACCAACAGTAAGATGTTCTGAGAAAGGAAAAAAGCTATGGAGATGGTAAAGCATTCAGTGATTACAGGGGTCTGGGAGGAGGGAGAGAGCCAGAGTGGGGAGGGGAAGAGATAGAGGGGATGGGAGGGGAAGGGAGGAAGAGAGACAGAGAGAGAACAGGTAGAGCACAGGAGATTTTTAGGACAGCAAGAGCATCCTGTATGACACTACAGGTTGAACATGTCATCACTTAACATCTGTCCAGACCCAAAGACTGTGCAACCCCAAGAGTGAACCCTAGTGTAAACTATGGACTTGGGGATAATGACCTGTGACTGCAGGTTTATCAGCTATACCAAAAGTCATCCCCTAGTGCACACTGAACATGGTGAGTTGTTATGGTTTGTGTCTGGATGTCCCCAGAAAGCCTCCTGTAGTCATGGAGGCAGGCTTCTAGAATTTCTGATTAATTCATGGTCCAATGCTGGGATTGCGAGTGTAAGTGTTACACCCACACTAGGGTGGGTGTGGCCTACATACAATATAAGAGACAGAAAGAATCTTCTCTCTGCACTCCTCCTCCCCTTTTGCTCTTGGTGTTTTTGCTGTTTTCTATGCCATGAATGGTTGCCCTGCTGCCACACCACCCTGCCTTGCAGCCACCTGATTATGGCATGAAACCCCCACAAAACGTGAGCTAAATAAACCTTAACCCTCTTTAATTTTGAGTGCCAGGTATTTTTGTCTCAGCAACGAGAGAAAATTAACCAAGACACAGAGACTGTGTACATCCTGCAACAGTATACATGGAACTTCACTTTCTTCTCCATTTTTCTGTGAGCCTAAAATTGCTCTAAGTAGACAGTTATTTAAAAAAATAATAACTGTACCCATGTGAGTTTAAGATGCTATTCCCCAGGCTTGTGGTTGCTTGCCACCCAATTCAACTCCCTACAGAAGCAGAACCTCAGAGAGCACCAGGGTCCCAGCTGGGTCCTTGAAGTAGAGGGTTCTGCACAGAGTAAAAGGGACTAGTATGTTAAAATGTGGGAGCCAGTGATTCTGGACAACATTATACTGGATCATGGATCCTGTGTAGCCCCTTCTGAGCTGGAGCCCAGAGCCTGAGGGGAGGCAATCAGAGCAGGGGTCAAATAGGTAAATGCAGATGGCTCCAGGCTCGAAGGGTTCAAATTGAGGAGATTAGGGTTAGGGTTAGCCAAACTGCCTCCAGGGGCCTCAGCCATATCATCATTCTTCCCCAAATTTCCAGATAAGACTCTGCCTTGTTTATTCTAGGGGCAGGAAGGTGGGACAAGTAAAGACAACCTGGGGAGACAGTGAGGCTCCGACTCAACTAACTCATAGCCCAACCCAGTGACAAGATCAAGAGCTTTGTCATGGCTCACTTTTCCTATTCCCAGGCCATCACCATTGGAACAGTCTGCAGACAGGTCCTCAATTCTACTCAACTGTTACCTGGGAGGGGGATCCTGGCTGAGCCCAACTCATGGAGAGTGGAGGTGGTGAAAAGCATTCAGTTACACACTGCTCTCCTCCGCACACAGGAAACTCAAGCTGGGTGGGGCTCCGGGTGGCATGTGGCTAAAGGCACCTTGGCAAAGGATGCTGTGCCACCTATGTGAGTGCTGCTTGGCTGAGGGAAGCCCGGGTTGCTAAATACCTCAGAGGCTCCCTCCCGTAGTGTGAGCCTTTCTGTGAGAGGTGATGTCTGTGTTGGGAGTTAACTAGTTAAGGCACAGGGCAAAGGCAGTCTCCTTAGTAAGAAGAGTGTTGATGAAGGCCAGGCAGGAACAAAACAGAAGCTCAGAACAAGCAGAGAGAAGGAGGTATTTCTGATAGCTCTGGAGGAGGCGGATGGGCATCCGGGATCTTGAAATCCTGACATGGACCCACGAGGCTGCAGGTTAAGCCTTTTGTGGCCAGTGGGGAGCCGCTGAGTCAGTCACTGAACATTTACTAAGCACTGCCTGTGATCCACACAATGTTCTGAGCATCACTGGTTGCAGGGGGAAGAGAGGGACAAGTTAGAGATATTTAGAAGCTGGTGTTGGCCTTTCAGGAGGTCAAAGCTCAGAGAAGGGCCTGCTGGTCAGGGATGGGTTCTTGGGGGTAGCAGCCTATCAGAAGAGATTTAGGTACAAAGCTAATTTGGATATATGGACTCCAGAGGAGAATCTTGAAGGCACTAATAGAGGCTCAGAGGTTTTGGGCAAAAACTAAACCCAAGGAGAGAAATTACCAGAAGTGCTGATGGAGAAGGAAACCGAGTACCTCAAATGTCCCCCCACCACTCCATACTTGTATGCTCAGCCCAAGTGGCCCACACCAAGTGTGCTGGGAGGGCAGGTGGCAGACAGCTGTTTAGCACATGCATACACATCAATGGAGAAGGCATCACTCATGTGAGACTTCTAGAAAAAGGAGTGAGTGCCAACTTGGAAAGGAGGCATTGTCTCTTTAAGTGAGCATAACACTGTATCATCCTTTCTCTTCCTATTTTGGGTTTTATTAGCAAAGCAGTACAATGTTTATACTAGTGGGTATTACATTTGCCAGAACAATTACAGTATGACAAATGGTACATCAATGTAATCCATCAACCTCGCTAAGACAGGAATCCTTTACTCGGGACTGCCATTAATTCTGTGCTCCAGTCTCTGGGGTCCGGGGCCCTCGTAGCCATGACAACATGGATGACGCCTTGTGTGAATACCATGGCTCTGGGAGAGGTGAGTACCTCCTTAATGTGCTGGAATTTAACCTCCAACACCCACTTATTAGTCTGGTCCAAGGAAGAAATTAGAGTTTGGGGCTGGAAACACGCAAAGCACTTGATGAGGAAGGGGGCATGCACCTCCATGAAGGTGCAGGCGCTCAGAAGCAGGGAAGGTTATATACCAATGGGTTGCGGGCCGCCTTCCCATCTCTGGTCACTGAATGCCAGCCTCCAAGCCAGAAGCAAATTCAGGCTGGGGACCTGTCTAGTCTCAGTAACAATGGCAGCTTTTAAGAAATGGAGACAGAAGGCTCAGGGTAGAAGACAAAGACACTGAGCATTTGAAGAGAGGCAAGAAGGGGAAGTCATTGTTTGATCTGTACAGAAAACCTCAGCAATTCCCCCAAAAGCAAGCAGTTTTCTAGGCACAAGGAGAAAAGGTGATTTGGTACACAAAGAGCTCAGATCTCTTCTGATTGGACAACTCCAGCCTCAAATGAATGATATATGATTTCTTGCCCTGGGGCTTATTTTTACCTCCCCGAGCTGCAGTTCCTCAGAGCAGCAAAATCCCAGCGGTTATACACGCCCTCCGACAAGACTGCAGTCATCAGCTGCAAATTCGCCAGGAGTTTCAGGGTTCCTCAATTCATCCCAACCAGCAAATTATAAGCCGGGAATGGCTTTATAAAATATGAAATGGCTGCTGTCAGTTTTTCCATCAGTTCTACATATTTTGCTGTTAACAAAAGGAACCGATAACCACTTCTCATAACGAAAAACAAGAATAAAATCAAAGGCCCCTAATGGAGACAATCTCCAAAGTGCAACAACACAAGCCCATTTCTTCTTTTTTTTCCTTCCCTGACAAATCAATCTGGCCATGGTCCAAGGATACAGGCAGACAGACGGAGCTACCTCACCTGTTTTATTAAGCCATTACCAGAATCATTTTATTCCCATTTATAATGTTCAATACATGGTCTGAAGACTTTTCTAATATAGTAATTAGATGGAACACTAGATAGATGGATTAAATTGGGACAATATTTTATGCCATTGTACATTGCTTTACAATATTCTGCCTGGTTTCTGAGATACCAAGATGTGCACGTACATGTATATAAATACATCCCTTTTATTTTGGATGGTGGGGCTGTACTTTGCATGTGGCTTATCTCGGCTCTGTCCTTCTCGTTTGGAAATCTGATGGAAATTTGTGAATCCATGATAGGACTTGCTAGGAAGTCCTATCTGTCCCCTACATTTTGTCCCCTCATCCCCCACCCTGTTCCCAAGCAATGGCTTTCCAAGCAGCACTGCTGTCATCGTGGTCACTGCAGACAACATTTGGGATGCTTAGCATGGGAATGTCAGAATGTGAATGCTCAATTTATAGTCACCTCATTTAGCCTAAGGAGAAAGCATTGTGATCATTTTATAGACGGGAAAACTGAGATTTGGACAAAGGTTTATTCAAGACACTGAAAAAGCATGTGGCAGGCACACATATCTGCACCCAGAGCACCCCAGTTAGCAACCACAAAAGAATGTCTTTTTATGAAGAGAAGGCAAGACACTTCTCCAAGAAGTGTGTGTGTATGTATATGGAGAACTAAATTATCTAAATTATAATCTTAAGAACCTAAGAAATCCAGGCTTAGTGGTCAATAAAGAACATTTCCTTCAGGTACTGTCTCCTCTCAACTTTTGGGAGGACACAAAAATATGAGACCAGCCAACCAAGTCCATTAGGTGTCATCAGAGGCTCCCTGCTCATTGTCAGGCATTGTCCCCTGACAGAAAATAGAACCATGGAAAAGTCAAGCTGGAACATTATAAAGAGATAACGTGGTTTTACAGAGGGGAAAAGTGAGGCTTTGAGAGGCAGCGTAAACTGCCAAAGGTCACATAGCTTTTGAGGTCACATTAGGTCCCTTTGCTGCTTTTGAGCCTCAACCAGAGTATGACAAGGGCTCACAGATTCTCCCTATTCTGAGCACGCACAAAAGCCCAAACCCACTCTCCTCATTCCCTATCTTCAGACCACCTCAGCTTGCTGGTGCAGGCCTATATTTAGCTGCTGTTTTTTCCCTGCTTCATGTATAAATGCAGAACATCTACTGGAAGAAACTTACTAATATAAAAGAGGAGGACACATCTGGCCAGGAAGCTAGAAGCTGACTGCTTCTGAAGTCCTGCCTTTGCCGGGGCTAGGAAAATAAAATTACTCTCCATATGTGTATTTCTGTATCCAAAAAAGGTTCTCCGTGGGCAAGGCCCTAGGTTCGATCTTCAGCACTACAAAAAAAGAGTTATTCTTGATTTGACAGCCAGTGCTGCAACTCACATAGAGAAGAAATCCTCAGTGAAATTCCAAAACCTACTTTGCGAGGCCTCTGCTCCCTTGCCCAGGATCCCTCTCCAGCCTTTCCCTGCGAAGTTGTTACATGAGTTTCCAGTTCAGCTCTTGTCTGCCTTTACTTTTGTGCACGGCTGACACTGAACCTCACTGCACAGGAAAAAGATGCCTTTAAGGAACAGAGCAAGGGATGCAGAGGAGGGAAAACAGGCAGAAAGAAAACTAAGGGAGAAGTTACAGGAAGTGCAAAGACTGACATTTACACTGCGGGTCAGGCCCTGTGTTCCCCTCACTTCTCCTCCCAACCAACCCCATTCATATCTCCATTTTATAGACAAGGGAGTAGAGGCTCTGAGAGCTCAAGTGATTTACCCAAGACTACACAGCTAGTTCAAGATAGAGTTGAGATCTGAACTTAGATCTGATTTGTATATCTGGATCTGTAAGTATGAATGATTTTTCAGCAGAGATGAAGGCAGGGATCTACTGCCTTTCAAACAGTGGGCAGATTCTTGGCAGCTAAACTGTTCTTCTCAGATCTTACTATTTGAAATTACCTGGGGAAACTCAGCGCTGTGGAGGAGTGGAGGGGCCTAGTGCAGTGCACGCAGCAATCCCACTGTGCACCCACTATATCTAGGAAACCTCCTCTGCTGCGTCTTCTCTGTGGTGATGCAAAACCCTTCCAAAGGGGCCACACAATCAGCTGGTTCTGAAAGGAGGCTGGATTGCAGAGAGCCAGAAACTGCACTGCTCAACCGAGCTCCTGTAAGGCTGGAGGCTCCATAGTTTACAAACTCAGGAGCTTTCAGTTTGCCCACCATCATTTCTGAACTGAAGACCCTTTTTGGACCATTTGGACCACAAATGACATTGGTCTGCCTTAGCTGGCCCTACGTCAGGTGTCTCCCATTACACACCCTCCTCATTCTCCCTTCGAGTCCCCTCTGCTCTCCTTCCTCTGAGCACACAGGACCACTGGGGCAGGCAGGATCCCTATTTTCTCTGGAAACAGTCTCCAGCTTGCCAGACTTTGCAGCTTGCAAGAAGGAATGCCACATCCATGATATCCCCTGATCTGTGTAAACCACAGACAGTGAAGCTATCTGTTGTGCCCAATGAAAACATCAAGGCTAGGAAGCTAAAATAGGATAGAGCTCCAGCAACAATTAGGGACAGACCTGAAGGCCAGGTGGGATCCTGTCTTGGGTTAGGTGGCACTTGATTTGGGGACTTTGGTGCAGTGGCTTCCGGGGGTGGGGGTGGGGGTGGAGGAGATGTGCCACAAGGGCAGCATGAGGGAGCAGAATGAGCTTGGCACAGACGGCAGTTCCTCAGGAGCCATCCCAACCCGATCCTGGAGAAGCTGAGCAGGGAAGGCTCACCAGGTGTCCTGACTTTGAGGAAGGAGATGAAGCTGCCCTCTTCCCCTGAACTGGCCAGACAGGCTGCTCCCATGGCTGAATGGGACAAAATAAACACTTTGAGATTCTCTGGAGGTGACCGTCAAATCACAACACCTGGGGGGCAGGAATGCTGCGTGTGCAGGGATCTAGTGGTAGGGATCTAGTGGGTCACCATGAATGTCCACAGAGAATCCTGAGCAGGCTGCCCAGGGTGGTGACAGATATGAGAATGCTTTACCTTAGTTGATGCCAATGGTAGCATCTACTTCTTCCAAGGGAGAGCCTGGGGGATGCTATGAGGAAACTGAGGCTCAGATAGTTCTGCAGCCCGATGGGGTCACACAGCATTTTGTTACCACTGGAGCAGTGGCCCTGCAATAATGAAGGGCTGACAGCAGTGTCTTTGCTGTTCTCCCCTTCTCTGTCTCCACCTCCTGTCTCTATCCCCACGTGGCTGCACCTCCCCTTGTCGGCTCCCCAGTGCCTGGGTGCTGGATGGGAACAGTGACACCTTGTCAAACAGGCATTTGATAAATGCAAATCTTTCTTAATTTGAATTTAATTATCAATGAAGTGAGCAACTCCCAGATCACTTCTCCCCATCAGAAACTGGCAGATACATCTGTGCATGGAGTGAGACTGTCATCTGCTGGTCCTCTTGCCAAGCCCTCCTGGCGGCCGGCCTGGCAGAGGCCACTGCTCTTAAGGGAGGGCTCCCTGGGAGGGCTACAGGAGTCCTGGCAGCTGGAGCCCCTGCCTCTGAACCATTCCAGGATGCAGATCTTTGCACAGCTGACCCACACAGTCCCTTTCCATATCCCCAGAGAGACTGACATACCAGTCTAAGGCCCCACAGCAGGGTTGGACCCAAGTGACCTGTCATTGCCAGAGGTTGTTCATTGGTCCTGTGCATGGAGGTACTGTCAGGAGCATGGAGGTAATGACTCAATACTTCCTTCCTTGTACTCATTTTTAAGCAAATTCTGGAGAGAAGTTACCAGTGAATAATTATTGGGCACTTATTATATGCTAAGCACTGTACTGGACCTTAATTTGCCTTAGCTCACTGCACATGGGAGGTATCATTACAACCCTGACTTACACAGGTAGAAACTGAGGTTCAGAGAGGTTGAGTTTCTGCCCAGGGTCTGCTAACCTGGGTCACATGCTGGACTTCACCGAGTCCTGTGGATCCTGTCACATGCAGTGCGAAGTCACTGGGTTGGGGGGCAGGTCACGGTTAAGTCTAAGCCTGGCACACAAGCTCTGACAAGTTCCTGAATCCAGGAACCTCAATCTCCCTCTTGGTGAGGCCTGATCCCAGGGACTTGAGGGGCAGGATCCACACTTTAAAAATTATACGACACTGAAAAAAATAATGAAAGTATGTGGTGGCAGACCCTGCCCTCAGCATTTTACAGAAATGAGCTCAGAGAGGGGTTCTGTAGGTACCCTGTTTTATAGATGAAGAAACACAAGTGTCTAAAGCTTAGGAACCTTAAAAGTGCAGCGATTTTAAGTCAAAGAAACAAACAAACAAAAAAATAGGAATACAAATCCCAGTATACAAACTTGGTAATCCAAATGAGCCAAAAATAATGATTACTCAAAATCCCATCAGCATCTGATGAAACATCTCGAGATTTTCTTCTAAATATTCTAAGAAGAAAGGAAAGAAAGTGGAGGGAGCAGTTGGATAAACAACTGCAGGATTATGACAAAGAGTTGGTGCTAGGTGATTAGGACAAAGAGGTTTATTTTATTCTATTTCTATGGATGCTGAACATTTTCCATAATAAAAGGTTTTCTATAATTCCATCACCTGAGACACCTGCTAGTAATGTTTTGGCCTCTTCCCTTCCCCCTTACCAGCCCCCCAACCTACTTCGGACCACTGAGATTATAATAATCCACCAGATCATAACGTCAGCAGAAGATAACAGCAGGACTGCCATGGACCAGTATTTCTCTGGGGTCTCACTATATATTTCACGCTGGCCTTGAACTCACTATGTAGCCTCAAACTTACAGCAATCCTCCTGCCTCAGCCTTCCAAGGGCTGAGATTATAGGAGTATATTACTGGCTTAAAGATGGCCTTTTAAAAATTGCTTTGAAGGTTCCTGGGGTTGGCACTTTAATCCGATTAGATTTACAGACACCACTGACTCTATTCACAGTAATGAAGAGAACACAAATATTGTGGTATGATCTGACAAAACATCTTCTCTAGACCCTCTTGGTCAATCACTTATTAGGAGCAAGGATCAGCATGACTGAGAATATGTTACTTTGGAACACTTTGGGCAAACTAATGAATACAGTGAGACTGGCTGGCTGCTCCTAAGGCTTCTGGACAGAATATGGAAAGGACAGCTCAGTGAAATGAACCCTCCCACCCAAGTGCCACATAAAAAACCTGAAAGCTTCCACGTGTAACCAAAATGAGACATTTTCCTCCTGTGGCCACAGGGCTGAGAGTGCTGCAAATCGAACCCAGAATCTCATCCCACCACTGGATGAATTAGAACACAAATTCAACTCTTAGCCTTTACAGGGTATCTGTTGTTAACAGTGAGGGCATGGACCAGGGAACAGGACTCTGAAAGAGGGAACATATGGGAAGAGACTGAAGCTGGACACACTGAGCCCCTAGATTCTGACAAGTCTTTGCTAGAGTTCCCTAGTCCCTATGGGAGTGGCCTTCCCACCCTCCACTGAGAAGATCAACTGTGTTTTCTGAAGGAACCATTCGTCCCCTAATGGAGATAGCTGCTAAGAAAGAAAATAGTCTTTTGGGAACCACCTCACCCATCGCTTCCAGACCTATACCTGATTTGGGTCCCAGCAGGTCCTCATGAAGAGGTACAAAGTGTGACCCTTGAAGAGGCATACTATTTGAAAGAACTAGTTCAGTCTTCCAATTTATACAGACAGAAACCTAGGGAATATTCATGGGAATGGGTACAAAGATGTGGGATAAGTGAACAGTCTAGATTTTGGATACGGGACCCCTAAGCAGAGACTCTGCCTTTAATACTGCAGCTTGGGGGGGTGGCTAACAGGTTTCCAAAAATTTGTTTGGTTGGCTGAATCATGGACCAAAAATGACCCACAGTCAGTGAAGTGGAAATCCCAGACCTATCATGGTTTAATCTAGAAGAAAGGATTCAAAGGTTTTGGCAGATGAGGACATTCGCATGGATTTGTCATTTAAGACCTACTCACACTGGGAGGATCCAGCAGATACAACATTCATCCATATCGTGAAAAATGAACTCAAGGGGGAGCCCTAGCAGCCTCGAGGCATTCAGGATCGCTCTTCTCTGTGGGCACTGAATTGGGAAACCTAAACACAGAGAGTAACAGGATAGGAGGATGGGAACATCAACTGTCGGCCCTTCACCACCAAAGGCAAGGTGGATGTCACACAGGGATGGATGGCAGACCAAAAGCAACAGTCAGGATGGTCAGAGTCTCACTGACCTGCTGGCTAATTAATCATGGTGTTCCCGTAAGTGAAGCAGAGAGGAAGCCTAAGTGGGAAAATTTCAGATCAAGTGAAGTCTAACTGTATCATTAAAAAAAAAAAAAATCACAGTCCTTCAATCCCATTTACAAACTTGAGCCTGTCTATAGACCTGAATAATGAATGGGGAGGCTGGGTCCCCTAGAGAAAGAACACTGGATACTGCCAACAGCTTGTAGTATCAGTCTTCCCCCCAAACTTTCCCAAAGAGACCTAGACCTTTTTCTAAAATGATTGTGCACAGGGCAAAAGAAATAATCAGAATGCTGGGACAGCACTAAACACTGGTTGTAAACTGACACCGGCCCCAAGAGACCCCAAATATCCCTGGCAGCCTCTAGTCAGAGCCAGGGATTACACAGTTCAGATAATCAATGAGGTTTTTGTTCAGGTTCATCTCACAGTGGACCTGGTGGGTCCCCAAAGTCATCTGTGGTGATTTCCCCAGTTCTGGAATGCATAATCAGAGCAGAAAGACTCAGTAGCTGGCAGCAACCCAACATTGATTCTTTGACCTGAGGAATAAGTGCCATTATATGGTGGGAAAGGGCACGAGAAGTGACTAGATCTGCCTCTACCTAGGAAATTGTAAGTCAGAAGCAATGCCACATTCTTTGATGGATTGCTGAACTGACAACCATCATCAAGGACAGAAAAGATCCAGGGCTAGGGATCTCATCACCCTCCCACTCACTCACTTATATGGCCAATGCAGAAGACATATGGATCTCAGAGAATGACAATGGATTATCATAAGTTTAACCAGGTGGTGACTCCAATTGCAGCTGCTGCACCAGATGTGGCTTCACTGCTTGAGCAGAATAACATATCCCCTGGCACCTGGTGTGTAGCTACTGATCTGGCAGATGTCTTTGTCTCCATCCCTGTCTACAAGGCCCACCAGAAGCAGCCTGCTTTCAGTTGGCAATGCCAGCAATATACCTTCACTATCTTTCCTTAGAAGTCTATCAGCTCTCCAGTACTGTGCCGTAACTTAGGTCTTCTTCTTCTTCTTCTTCTTCTTTTTTTTTTTTTTTTCTGGTTAGGGTGGGGGAGACAGGGTCTTACAATGCAATCCAGGCTCTCCTTGAAACCTATACTGTTCTCAAATTCACCATTTCCCTGCTTAAATCTGCTGAGTGTTGAGATTTCAGGCATGTGCCACCACACCTACCTGCTATTTAAAGAGCTTGATCATCTTTCTCTTCCAAGAGCTATCACTATGGTCCTTCCCTGATGACATTATGCTAATAGGATCTATTGGGCAAGAAGTAAGAACTACTCTGGACTTACTGATAAGATGTTTGCAGGTCAGAAAGTGAGAAATAAACCCCAGGGCGAAGGATGAGTTGTATCTGGTGTCTCCTGCAACCAAGTAGGCATGATGCCTGGCAAGCTTCTTTGGACTTTGCAGGCAACATGTTCTTCCTTCAGGTGTGTCACCCCACCCCATGTCCCAAGTGATCCAAAAAGCTGCTAGTTTTGAGTAGGCCCAGGATAGGAGCAGGCTCCATGACAGGTTCAGGCTACCAAGCAGGCTGCTTTGCCACTCGGGCCATCTGATGCAGCAGGCCCTATGGTACTTGGGATGGTAGTGGCAGCCTGGGAGACTGCCGGGAGTCTGACAAGCCCTCATAGGCACTACAGGCCCTTAGGCTTCTGCGTAAGGTCCTGCCATCTTCTGTAGGCAATGACTTTCCTACTGAGAGGCAGCTCCTGGCCTGCTTTTGGACCTCAGTAGGGTCTGAACACTTGATCAGGGGTCACCAAGTTACGATGTGACCTGAGCCACCCATCATGAGCTAGTTATTATCTGAAGCCATAAAGCTGGGCATAGTCATCAGCATTCAGAAATGGTCTGGTCTATATGTGATCAGGCCACAGCAGGCCCTAAGGCGTAAGTCAGTTACACAAAGAAGTGGTTCAAATGTCCATGATCCCCATTCCTGCTGCCCTGCCTTTTCTCTCCTGGCTTGCCCCTGTGACCTCTGCGGCAAGTCTTTACAGTGACTGACAGAGGAAGAGAAGAGGGACTACCAACTGGAGAGTGGAAGAAAATGACTAAAAAACACCATTTCAGCCATGCAGCCAGTTAGAGAACCAAGGACTACAACTGTTATTTTGGTGTGAATATATTTGTGTGTACATGCATTGACACTATAAAGCAAATATCTTTGTTTTCTTCCCTCTTGTTCCCGAATTGTATAACATAAGATGTACTGATTAATATTATGATATTTAGCTATTACTGATTTATACTTAAGTATTTAAGTAATGGGCTATTAAGGAAGAGTCATCATCACTCAAGGGTTTTCCTTTCTCTTCTGGGGAAGGGTTGTATGTGTTTGATTGTACACAGAGTAGTTGCATCATGTTAGGCAGGATAAAGATCTTGTGACTGCCCTCACCTGACAGTAAGTATGATTCAATGGGAGGCCTATGGATGCTAAACTGACAACAGCTGAACTCGTGAAAGTTCATTTTATGTGTCAACCTGACTGGGCCAAGATGCGGAGGTGTCTGGCAACACCTTCTGGACATGTCTGTGGATGGTTCTGGACAAGATCAACTTTCGAACAGGCAGATGGACTACGGCAGAGGGGTTTCCCTAACATGAGTGGACCTCTTTCCATTAGCTGAAGGCCTGAACTGAAGAAAAAGCATGACCCTTTCCCTTGTAAGAGCTAGGACATTAGTCTCTTTCTCCCTTCAGGCCTGAACTGCAGCATAAGCTCTTCCTAAATCTCCAGGCTGCTGGCTTTCAGACCAGGTCTCCTAAGGATGCAGCGCTCCTGCTCATATATTGGGCTTTTTCAGCTTCCCTCCGCTTCCCTATCACCAGAGCCAATTCCTTAAGAATTTTCTCCCTCATACATACACAGACTCATGCATCACTTGATAATCAGGATAAGTTCTGAGAAGTGCAGAGATGGTGATTTCGTGCAAACGTTATAGTGTGCTTACACAAATCTAGATGCCTACTACACAACAGTCTATATGGTCTAGCCTGTAGCTCCTAGGCTACAAACATTTCAGCATGTCATTGTTCTAACTATAAGTGATCACAACACAATACTAAATATTTGTGTATCTACACATATTTAAACAGAAAAGGGATAGTAAAAAAATAGGCAATGGAAAATTTTAAGTTCTGTTTTGATTTTATGTGACCACTGTCACAAATTTGGTCTGTTGCTGACTGACTTGTGATATAAGATTGTATGTACAGTAAATCCTGTTCATTCTGTTTCTCTGGAGAACCTTAATACAGTTCATAACCTGGTAACCCATTTGACCTTTGCAGGTATGTTTGGT